TAAAAAAAAAAAAAAAAAAAAGGCACATGACGGTTGAAGACGGATGCAAGGGGGGGGCATCCAAACCAAGGACATTGCCCGAGAAGGCCTCCTGATCGCTCTTTCAAGAAAAGAAAGAAAGAAAAAAAAAAGGATACGACAAGGTAACAGATGTGGAAGCATCTCGAAGAGAACTTGTCGTTCGCACAATAATGTCCACTCTCTCTGTCTGTCACAGCCGCCCCTCGTTCGTTTGTTGTCCTCTTCTCCCTCCCTCCCTCCCTCTCTGCCTATTACGGTTTACCAGGCACATCTCTGTTTGACGAAAAAAACGATTTTTTTTTAATTTTTTTTGGTTTCTTCTGTTTTTTTTTCGCCTTTGCGCTCTGATATTCATGTGACAATATATATATAAGTACAAGGTTTCATTCTATTGAATCAATAAAAAAAGAACAATTGAAAATAAGTTGCAACTCATTTTCAATTGTTCTTTTTTTTTTGATTCAATAGAATGAAACTTTGTACTATATGTTCTGTTTGTGACGATATATATTGTCACATGATATCCGGTGTGACAATATATATTGTCACATGATATCAGACCGCCAAAGCGAAAAACAGAAACAAGAAAAACTTACTTCATTTTTAATCTTCTTCCTTACAACTCCCCCTGTTCAGAACCTCTTGCGTACAAGGCCGCCCACGTGGATGTAGGTTGAGCGGCGGCTGCCCCCACCCCCGTGTGTCATATCGACTCACTTGCACACAGCCAAAAGGCAAAGATGCAAAGAAGAGAGGAAGGGAACAGCCAAATAAAACAGAAAGAACAGGGGGCAACAAAACAGATCCCAGATGACACAAGTCCCACATGCAAGCACCGCCCTTGATATATCACCTACCAAACCAGGTAATCTTAAGGGATGCGTACGAGCTTTTTCTCGTACTGACGCAGCAATCCTATTGGCGCCGAATAGTACGTCCAATCCATTGTCAGTAATTACAGTATTATTATGCACTAAATCTGCGCAATTAACCGGTGCTACAAATCCCCCACATACATTACTACATCTTCTACTTAATATATATATATATATATATATCGTCAATTATATACATACATCGTCACACAGTGTAACGGAGCGCAAAGGGGCGAACAAACACACAACAGAAAAAGGGAAAGATGTAAGAGGAAGGAAAGCTCAGCGCCTGTTCATCACCTTTTACGTACAAGGGCAGCCAGCCACGTGGATGATGGTTATAGTCAACTCCGTATCTGTCCGTTGGTAGTGTCGAAAGCTTTATCTCTATCTGTCCTACAAGTGAGGTTTGATTTCCTCCGCCTCCTTGTTTTCTTTACCTCTTTTTTGCCTTTTTTTGGCTGGCAGAGCGTGCAAGTGGGTCCTTGTGACACACCGGGATGGGGGCAGCCAGCGCTCAACCTGTCATCCACGTGGCCGGCCGTGTACGTAAAAGGTGATGAACAGGCGAGGAGCTTTCCTTCTTTCCTTCCTTCTTTCCTTCCTTCTTTCCTTCCTTCTTTCCTTCCTTCTTTCCTTTTTTTGTTCTGTCTTTTTCCGCCTTTGCGCTCCGATACACGGTGTGACGGTTGAAATATATCACGTGGGCGGCCTTTGTACGCAAGAGTTTTTTTTAACAGGGGGAGTTGTAAGTGAGAAGATACAAAATGGATTGATATCTTTTCTGTTTTTTTGTTTTTTTTCGCTTTTGCGCTCTGATAACTCTTGACGATATATATTGACGATATATATTGACGATATATATTGACGATATATATTGTCACACTGTAAATCTTATATATAATGTTTGCATTAGAAACATTTATATACAGCCATTGCAGCAGGCGAGCTCGCCAAGCAGGCGTAGCCTGCTGAATGGAAGCAACAACTTCGGACCAAGAACCCGCTGCGCCTAATGTCAATAACCGCCGTAACGTTGTTCGTACTGCTAGTTG